TAAGCTTGAAGATAACATTTTATGGGTAAAACTAAGGCAATACGGGGTGTTTAGTGCAACAAGTTTGCGCCAACACATTCCACAATCATTAATACCCGTAGTTAGGACGTGGACAAGTTTGGACCGAGCTTCAAAGTGCTTCCATACTCTAAGGCCCATCCTTAGTTATCCTCCATGTTAACTATTCTTCTCACATTTCACTGTCACTTTTCTTTTCACATATTCACACCGAGAGTCCTGTATCCATTACTCAATCCCTGGATATCCATACAAATCTTTACTTCCCCGAAAAACTTCAAATCACTTCGTGTCAACCGCCCCACCTAGTAATGACTGGTCATGGCGGAATTTTCATGTAATTTGGCAAGCCATGTTTGGGATCACGAAATCATATTCCCATTCTTATTCTGAATCCAAGTCATCTCTGAAACCCATGTTCACTTCCTCTCTGAGACCTATTTAGGCTGTCCTGGATCCGTTCCCCAATTCATCCCAAGTTTACCCCTCAATTCATTCTTGAATCGAAGTCTTGAGCACCAATATACCGGCAATAGTAGACACACATCAGTTCATCAATGGTTCGAACATTCTTCAAAGAACGTCGTCACTTCAAGATTTCCTTCGTTCGACACAAGTTGCCTAGCCGCCTCGCTCTCCTTTCTGACATGGCTCAAGACGCTCCTATCCCCGGCCCGACCTCTCCTACGACACCAACGCTTGAGACTGCGGTCGTCCCTGTCCAAGGGTCGAATCCTGCGCCCGACAACACGCCTATAACCGATATTAGCACGGAAGCCTTGGACACCGAAGTCCCGGCGACTACGGCACCTACGGGCACGGATTCCAGTGCACTTCCTCCTGCCAACTTCTTGACGCCCGCCGAAGTGGAGGCGATGTCGCTTCCTGGCGTCATCTCCGGGGTCACAACGCTGGCGGACACCGGTATTTCTCTGGATCCCGTCTGTTGGGACATACCGCCTGTTCACGGAGGTCCTGACGTTCACCTTGTCGGCGTGCCCACGTCTATCTTCGCTATGCAGAGTAGGGTGAAGGTGTATTGTGGGTATGGTGGCCTGGAGGTACTTCTGTGCATCGAGGGTCTTGACGCAGCAGATTACCAAGGTCTACATACACTCATGAGTGGGAATGTAGCTGACCGCTTGCCGGAGCTGCCTTAGAGTGATGCACCAGTCTCCTTTGGCGCCGAAGTGGTCTCCAACGCTGACCAGCGCCGGTTGGTTGCATTGTTGAGCCAATTTCCATTAGATCGCCCGGCGGAGCGGATGATAAACTCATTGTCCTTCATCCACCGGCTTCTGGCCAAGGTCTGTCATCTCCTAGCAGCCTAGAAAGCCGAGGGTTACGGCACGTTATCGTCCCAGATCCTGGTGGCCCATGACAACTTCGACACTGTACATCTTGCGTGGACAGTCATGTGTCGATACTGGAGTTAACGTGAGCGGACACTCAAGCAAAAACGCTGAGTGAGCGTTTTATGCGGCAAGGCCTCCGCGATGCCGAGTTCAGCCACCATGGGCGTGTTAGTGATCTGACGGACCAGATCGCCCGGCTCCAGATCCAACTTCGAGACGCTGAGGCAGCCCGTCAAGCGGTCGAAAGGCACGCCAATGAGGCTTGGACGTGAACGCCCTCGTGGATTTTGATGAGCTATCAACCCAATATCAACGTCATGATGAATTAGATACGCCTCGCGGCGCTCCTTCATCACTTTGCCGAGGGTACGCCTTCCCGAGGGTTGGCTCACCAACATAAATATGGTTGTCCTGGACGACCCACGCTGCGAATGTCCCAGGTTTGCACGCCCCCTCCCAGAACCGATAATGGCAATTCGCCTTCGAGTTCTCAAGGACCAAGACGACCTGCCGTCCTCGATTTGTCGCCTCCTGCACGAAACAAGAGATCTTCGGCGTCCGGATCGCGGACTGCTAACCAGAAACGGACGGCATCGGCGGCTCCAAATGCGTCCCTCCCCAAACGTCAAATTCTGGATCCGGCTCGGGATTCGGACCGTCGGGCCGATCATCAGCTCTGTCCTCGGGGGTATTCTCCGAAGAATTTATTGGTGTACTTCCCATTGGAATGTCCCTGACGCTCGGGACTTGGCAGAGGCCGGCCATGCATTTCCAGCTAATATGCTCTGGACTGACGTTCGCGAGGACGTTCATCATCTTCTGTTGTCTGGCATGGATTCCGAGTTGGCCATAAAATGGGTTTAAGACAATCAAGGTAACGATCACCTCGGTCCTCAGGAAACAACCTGTCGCATGTTGGTCCAGGTGATCCCCGCAGGTCATCTGGATGAGACTCCCTGGTGTCGTTTTGTGCCGGAGGCATTTTACATCAACGCAGAGGTGATCCTGCAAAGGCGTCAAGTTAACAGAGAACCAACACACCTTGTATCCTCTGGGTCGCTGCTTCATCAAGGTTCAAAAGTGGAAGCGGTCAACGCGTGACACCGAGGCTCTCCAAGCTACTCTTCCGGATATGCGGACGATGAGACCCAGGACCCGTCCTACGAGATCTCGCAAGCTGAGCTAGACAAGACAACACGGTCCGAGGCTGCAGCTGCAGACTACGAATCAAGGGAAGAGTCAGACGTCTGTGGAGGGGGCTCTGAGTCCGACGCTGCGGGGCTGTGGCCTACCAGCCCTCGTGATTCCAAGACCGGAAATAAGGGTAGTAAAGACCGTAGACCCGAGAACTATGGTCCGTCCTCGCATCCCAAGTCCCGAGTCATTACCAGTTCCAAGTCTCAGGCTGTTCCGCGACCCTCCAGAGGTACACGCGAGTGTAAAATTCCCGGTCTCTCCATTACCACGTTCATCCGTAGGGTCAAGGTAGAAGTCTCATCTGTGGGCCCAAGACGTATCCGCTCTCAGTTGGCCAAGTTGATCTATGATGATCTCCAGGACAAACACCTGGACACCGTGGAGGTTGCATGTCGAGAGATTCACGTTTCCTATCGCGTCTTTGGAATTTTGGGAACCTGGTTTGTGGATTCTTCCCAACGCCATATGCTACTGAATCTTTAAGGATTCGTCGGTGAACTTTAGAACGGCATCCGCTGTCGCCAACTTGCGCGCGGAGCTCCTGGAACCAGATAAGGATGAACCCGCACGTACTCTCTGGTATTATGATGTGAATGAAACCGCACATCTGGAATATGTACCAGAAAGTTCATCTCTAACCGCCTACTCGCGAAGATCGAACGAACCTAGAACTTGCTGCCAATTCCGGGACTATCACCACTTCGAAGTTTATAACTACGAAGGAACTATATCAGCTCCGTCTGGCTCGTCCGAGGGGCCGCATCCACATCAGACCACGGAGAGGAGGCAAGTCCGGACTCCGGTTTGGTACCTAGTTCGAGAACACAGCTCGCCTTCCAAACTAGGGCCTCGGGGTTCATCCATATCGTAATGTACCAACTTAATTGAATAACCAAATCTAGATTTCACGCTGCGCCTTTGAACTTACTCCCATCCTATCCATACAGCGGATTCATATCCTCAGACGTTGTCACCGTCAGCGTCACACTAGCGCAGAGTAGACTGACCAGAAAGCTTCCATTTTAGACACATCTACGCATCGGATTATCAACCTACATCATTGAGTCAGGTATTATCATGTAGCTTCTAGAAAACAAGAAATCTCCAAACCGAGGCATATAATCGCTGGGACAAGACCCAAATTCTCCAAATCGGGATCTATAGTTCACCGTAGTCGTCATTCCCAGACTGCACCGTCGTGAAGCCAACCTTCGTACGTGCTGTCGGATTGAGATTGTACAAAGGTGAGCAACAATTCAGTTGTGGGACAGGTAGCCACTGAAGATTTTCATAACCGATCCACTTGACGAGATATTCGCGAGAACGTTCAGCATTTCGTCTGCTCTTGGTCTATTTCAGGTCCGAGATCTCTTCTACTTTATACTCCAGTTAAACAGAATCTGGTTCCCATCAATCCTCCGGCACCAATGCTGCATCAACGCCGTCGTTCTCGGAAACGTTGTCCTTTAATACAGGCCGTTTCGGAAACGAAGAGCGTGGTTTCATGCGAGTAATGTGGACCCAAGGCTCCACACGGTAGCCTGTACCCTGAACCTTCAGCGTCATTTTGAAGTCATCCCGGACTTGCTCAATCCTGACCGATCCATGCCACAAATGGGACAATTTACGACTCAGAGCCGGCAAGACGTTCGGGATGTATAAACAGACAGAATCACCCACTTCAAAACGGGACTTGAGGTGATCCGACAATGCATTCCCCTTCTGAGTCTGAGACGCGAACCTCGTACGTTTGACCTTCTCCTAAGGGTTTCCGCACAGGCGTGGGCATAGCTGTAGCCGCGCAGCAGTTTTCGGCGCCACTCGTACGCGGTCCGCTCAACAACGTCCGTTGGTTTCGGACCCAGCATGGACGATATAGTACTCCGGTAGTAGAACCCATGAAATAGGTAGAACGGCGTATCCAATATGGTCGCATCGAAGAGCGTATTCAGGGCATGCATAAGCCTCTTAGCGTGGTTTTCCCAATCGGTCTGGTCAGGTTCTTTGACATATACTTTGATACTGCGCATGATTGTTTGACCCAACTGTTCCCGCTGACCATTGACCTGAGGACGATACGCGAGGGTTGCCTGCTGCTGTATACCCATCATCTGGCTGAAACGACGGAAAACCCGACTCATGAACCTGGGTCCCTGCCGTGACAAATTTCAGAGCTTGCACAATAGTTTCTGAACGCAATCTCTTCGTAGGCTTCGGCGCAATCCTGTGTAGTGGTGTTACTCATGGATTTGCCCATCACGAAGCCCGTGAAATACCTTGAAATAAGAGTAGGAAAGTATTCTCACGTTCAGATTTAAGGAGGTGCGTAATAAAGTCCGTGGGCAATACTTTGAACGGGCTGGTCTGTTCAATGTTTCCGGATGAAGGCTTCGGATTTAAGGGTCGCCCCTTGGTGGAAGCGCAACCCGTTCATCCTTTGACAAACATCTCGGCATTCTCGAATATCTCGATCCAGAAAACGCTCAACGGAAATGCTAATACGTTCTGGTAATGCATTGGTGGCCACTCTGGAAATCTTCGTGAGCGTGATGTAGGATGTCTGGTCGCAAAAACTTCCGGTACAACTTGGCGAAGTTCAGAACACTTGTCCCTGGGACCTTCCAGAGTAGGCATAGCCAAACGATAAAGAACATCACTAGAGTCCAAAACATATCGGTCTGAGCCCTTCGCAATCTTCTTGACTTCTTTCCGCATATAGTTCACCAAGTCACCCCAGTAATAGTCCTTGAGCTTCTTTAAACTATGGATCCTCATCCTGGTGGACCTTGATGCGTCGCCAACGTTTGTCTCTATAGTTAAGTGGCCGACTCGGGTCATCCACTTGGTCGACTTGTCTGGAACGACTCCGGGTCGTAGCAAACATCACGCGTATCACTGCATCAAGTGGTCTCGGAATAAGGCCTGAACCGGAGAAGTTTAACTTGTCGCGTTGCGGACTCTGGCTTTTGTTATGCTTCCGTTCCAAGGATTTTGGAGGCTTTATGATCTTCTCGGAAAACCTGGATAGAAACTTCAGGTACATCAGCCCATCCGCATCCTCTACCATCCATGCTTTTCCAAGCGCCAATGTCCTCGTCGTCAAATAGTCCGCAGCATGATCGTAGTATCACTTGACATGGGCCAAACGTACTGAGCTGAGTTTTGCTTTCAACACTTCATATTCGGCGAGGTGGCGCTGCCGATTAGGCAGGTGACGACCGATCAAGGTCTGGGCTTGTTGGATAACAATCCTGGTTTCTCCAACAATGACCATGTCTCTGAGATCGCGGCCGACGGCCAGTTCTAGGCCTTTCATTAACACGTGACACTCCGCGTCGTTCATAGGCACGTCGTCCAGAGGGAACCCATGGGTATTCAGGACGGGTCAACAGAGTCAACACCACAAAATATAACGACAACTTCCCGGGCCGGCCCTGGCTACACTATCAAAACTCAGAGCATATCCTTCAAAGTCTGAATCCAGCTTCTCCACACTGATTAGATGATGCGCTTTGATTCGCCCCCTTGACCGGGATCAGGTTCTCGGCAACTTTGTCTAGTTGTTCTCTGAGAGTAATACCCGCGCCAAGGAGATCAGCCAGTCCGTCTTCATCACGCTGTACACGGCATAGTTTCAATGTCCACTTCGACAATTGCAGACCCCACTTCAGGTGGCGGCTGTCAGCTGAGTTCGACTTCAGTAGTCACTTCAGGACTGAGTACCGAGCGTAGATCACAATCGGTGACCCCCCGAACCAAGGATAAGCAGGCGGAACTGCTCTAGAACGCACTAAATCGGTAACACCTCTATCCTTGGGATGTGGTATCAGAGTTCGAACTCGTGCAGAATCAGCCCCGTAAAACGTACTTGTTGGATGATACCTTCACGTTCCTGACCCAGGACAGCACAGACCCCCCGGGGGTTGGCATGTGGGATGATGTCAAACGGTCTGGTGCAATCAGGATAGCGTAACAGCGGAATCGATGTGATCTTTTGTTTCAAAGTCTCGAACGCTTACTTGGCCTTATCTAGATAGCGTTCAAAGCGAACCCAGTCATCCATATCGTAAATCGTAGCCGCAACAACAGGTTGATCCTCCATAAACTTGTTGTAGTGGTACAGACGTCGCAGGAACGACCGAATGGGCTTCAGACTCGATGGAAACGTTAGATCTTGAACGCTCTTGGCAATCTTTGGAGTAACTCTAATGCCTTCGGCACAGATTGCGTGAGACAGATACGGCCGGTTTACCGAACTTGCTTTTCGGGAGACTGACCGAAATATTCCAATGCCGGGGTCGTAACAGCAGAGCGTTCAGATCCTCGCAGAGTTGGTTCCAGGTAGGCTCTCCATGAGCTATGTCATCAATGTAAGTACTTCGTCCCAGGACCGGTCCCATCTGTGTCGGCGTCGGAATGTTGCTCCTGAATAGTGTCGACTCATTCATTAGCACCGGAAGTCTGAAACCACCTTTGTCATGAGGGTTCTCGGTCATCGGCTCAGGGTCTGGAACGTCAACTTCAGAAACTCTAAGACATCTCGATCGACCTGGGTCTCATCCTCAGGTGGGAGCCGCACGAATCCCCAAAGCAACTATTAATCACACCCTGACACTAACGGTGCGTTCTTGAGTCCAAAAAGCATCCGGATCCACTGAAAGTGTCCGATTTGGTAGACGAAAGCTGAAATCAACTTCGCACGCTCTGTCCTCTGGATCGCCCAGACACCGCTCGCCATATCTAGGCTCATGAGACATGTTGCGGCATTAAAATCGGTCAATAGGTAATCGATCAGAGGTAGAGGTTATTGTGACAATTTAATCAGCTGATTAAGATGCCGATAATCAACACATATTTTCTGATTTCTTCTCCATTCTTCTTCAGAACAATCACGAACGGCGATAACCACTCCGATCGAGGGTGTTCCATAAGCCCGGTCTTCACGAGCTTTTTTCAGCAACTCATAAACCTTCATCAAGCACCTGGAGGCGATCTGTCGAGCGCGCAGTGCTATCCGCTTTGCGTCACCAACGTCCAAGTCACAGCCGACTACACGGGGAGGGGCAGGAGCTGCATTACCATCGCCCAGAAAGATACGACGACGGTAATTTAGGATCTTCCGCAATTTATCCTACATCGCCGGAGTCTTAACGCCTTGTCGGCGTCGCATTCAGGAGTCAAATCATCCAATTCTGGAAACACGGTCAAGGGGTGCGTAACTGAGGCACCAGCTTGGTCCCTTCTCGCAAGTACACGGCTGGCGCCAGCTCCAATTCCTCTATTGTCACCCGCATGACACGTTTGCACCCTCGTTCCAGGCTTCGAACCGGAGTGTCCAGGAGATCCGCATCGTGTTCCTCGTGATGCGATAAATCATCCCAAGCGATTTCGAGAACGTCATCTAACATGCATTCGGGTCGAAATCTAGACCGAATTTTAAATCGCCGTCCGTTTCAGGGGGGAATCGGCAGGTGGTGTCTGCGGTTGACGCTCTGGGTCATCTACCTCCGAAGAGGTAGCCGGGCCTTCATCCAGCTCGACGATGCCCCGGAGTCGTTCCAGGCCGCCTGCTCTATCAACAGTCACTCTACTCATAGGCATATCTGAGACCACATCTCTGGCTTCAAGCCTGGCCTCTTTGCGAGGGACACGGCCATCCAGGTCTGAAGAGACGCACCCGTAAGCATTTGGGCGTTTAACTTGAGTACCAACGTCTCTGGTATCCACTTGCCAAAGCTACTCGGCGAGAGTCGTTATAAAAACTTCTGTCTGATCTTTCACATCCAACTTCTGGTTTTGGGGTAATAACACTTTGCGTAACGAGTACCCCCTTCACTGCTTCCGGTCGTTCCTGGAACTGCACCATTGGAATCTCTCCTTCATGGGATTTTGGGTGTACGAGGTGCTTGATACTCTGTTCATGGCACCGCGGGAGGGTCCCGCAGTCGCATCATTTGTTCTAAACGTTCAGTACGCATCCGGGCCTCGCGCTATTCGGTGTCTCCGAGGATAAGTCGTTGCCACACCTTATACCTAATATTCCTTGGGCGGACGAATCCTGGTTCCTTCGGGAAGTATCCATACTCTACAATCCAAGCTAGTACGGTCCGAGTGTCGATCCATACATTTCTGTCCGAAACCGTGACCACTCGGACTGCCGTAGCCCATGGACGGGTTCTAAACAGAATTTCAGTCACTCATCGTTTCCCTCATCGTGTCCAGACCACTTTTCGCTGTGGGTTGGTCTGTCCATATTCGATTTTGACTACTGCAACTTCACCAGGAGGTAGGTATAGAAGTTAAGTCGCGCAGACCGGTAACTCTAGACCTCTACGCTTCCTAGGGACGTCATCATACATCACAACGTTCCCCTCGTCCGGTAACTTGACTAATCCCTCGTGGATGCATAATCTAACTCTAGCCGAATACAAGAAGTTCATATCTAGCAATATGTCCACACCTTCACCAATATTTCCCCGGATTCCTCCCAGACCATACACTTTTATTGTAAATGCGTTCAGATTTTAAGGCTGAGCATACGCGCTAGGTCCAGTCTCACACTACTCACCGAAGCACCCGTATCTAGGAGTATCCTCGTCCGCCGATCATTGATCGCCCCACACACAGTCGTATTCTCATACGAGTCCTCTGAATCATGATCTTCTCACTATCCATATCTCTGGCCAGTTTACCGAAATACTGTGTATGTAGTTATGATCTGTGCATAAGTTGTGTAATTCGGCGGTCGACAGCGTAATTTTGCGGTGATTGTGAACTCAATGCTCAGACCCGTTTACTCAGTGCTAAAGTATAAAATGACGTTTCCGTCGGTTCCTCATCATTGAAAGGGATATAATTAAACAAATAGAGAAGGAAGTGATAAACTCTTATACCCGTTTTGAGAGGTTTTCTAAGTTCATCAAGTCGACATTCCCTACCGCTGACTGGAAAATCGGAAACTTACGTTGATCGTACACAACTGTCTTGTAGTATTACTTACATGTCCTGTGCTGGTTTCGCTTTTGCTTCTTCCCATTGCAAAGCTATTTTCACATCCGTGAAATTTCCAGTCCTCATATCTGCATTATTCTATCGATATATAAGTCATCTCGAACCAAGGATTTTTATTAATCACCCCTGAAGATGGATTAGACCTACCAAATTATAAAGTTCAGTAATACTTCGAAGTAAAAAAGTGTGTAGCCAAACATATACTATGGTTAGTATTTTTATTTTGTTTGGGTTAGGTTCGTGATGTCAAATGTATACTAACGTGTACAGTAATAGACGCTACTTAAACTACAAGGATTTGTCCTTCTGTGGTTACTAAAGCGGACCTGAATAAACCAGCAACGTCGTCGAGTGAACCTAGAACAGAGAGCAGTGGTGACATCATGTCGGCCTGAAACTTTATATCCGCGACGCGTTTCACCAAATCATCCCAAGTGAAACGAGCTACAGTGTCGATCTCTAAAGCTTGTCCCAATAGTTTGTCAACGATTGGATACATGTAGTCATTGCTGATCACGTGAGGGAACGCGTTTCGAAAAGTGCTCTCCGAAAAAACAAGAACGGTTTTTGAAGTGACAACGACTTCCCCACTTGGCCCCTCCTCCATACGAACGATCTTCATGTCGAAGTCGGGGTATATCGCGGAAATTGTCTTCCATTCCTCGAGGTGGGCTTCAACACCAATTCCCCCACCGCTGATCACTCTGGGGACTAAATTTGTCTTAAGAAACTGATGAAAAACTTCAGCTGAGAATTGATAATGGCGCGTCGAATGGAAATGATCAACATTGACAGCAGACAACGTTCTGATACCGCGGCTGACGAAGCGATAGTATTCCGAAACCATATTCCAAGGAGTTTGGTTTCTCATGGTGTGACTGCAATGCTCGGAGAGTCGCATGTTACACATTTCAATTTCCTGGTGAAGGAATGAAATATGGCGCTCCAGACCCACAACATTCCTTTCGTACTTCTTTCGATATCGCCGTTGATTGGCACGACCACGCGCTCGACGACGTTCTTGTCTAGCAGCATCGGTCGCACTCAATGAGTCTTTGAGGTCGTACGAATGGCTAGGTGGTAATGGTCTGGCGGCCTGTGCTAGAACAGGATATGATTGCGTACATGACTGAAGAGACTGTCTCGTGGCTGCCAATGCTGATGTCCTCTCCACGTGTACGGAATGGGAACCGAAACAACGAGTACCCACAGGTGCCTTCTCGCGGTATTCAATCAGATTGGGATTTTCAAGTACGCCGTCGATCACGAATGCCTTGTCGACGAGAGTGCGGTGATGGCGTGGAGTGTCTAGTTGTTTCATACTGGCAAGCAATGCACCACTGAGGTTTTTGTTCGGCTCAGGGTATAGAACCATGTTTGGTTTCCGTAGGTTGTACAGGTGATGATGCTTGCGACCTCCGATGATATCTGTGAAATGAAACGCTCGGATCACCTCAATGTATGCTATGGTGATGCGAAGAACAACTCATGGGGTCCAATGAATACGTGTTGGTCAGCTGATCAGTCGTTTGAGCTCACTGAGATTGCACGGTCTATTACTTGTATGAGGTAGCCACGTCCTATCCATATACACATGCCCGCTCATTCTATACAGAGTTCGCACCGTATGGATAACAAAAAGCTTTTGGACACATCAGCGATGTACTAAAAAACATAAACTCGAAGTTTTT